ATGATTTCTTCCTCTGAGCGAAGTAAGTCTTGCTGCTCATTGCTTTCTGGCACGTAATCCAGTCCTCTACGAGACATTTCTAATATAAAATAAAAAAAAATTATTTTAATATTATTATTTTATTTTGTCAATTATTTAATATTTATCATGTATTTAAATTTAAATAAATTAAATAAATTTGATGTACGGATTTTATTAACAATATTTAAATAGTACATTCAGTATATATATATTTATGATATTTATACTATTTAATAATTTAGTTAAACACGGTACGTAAATTTATTTAAATTAATTCAAATCATTTAACTTATAATATGTTAAAAATAATATAATTTCACTAGGCTGAGGATGTTTCGTACGTTGTGTTTAATAATTTGAATTTTTTACTTAAATGTGTTTATTATAAAATATTTAAAATACTCGTTAAATATATTATTTATATTAACTTACAAATATATGAAAACATAGATTTTTTATATTAAAATGTTAAAACTTTATTTTGAAATTTTTTATGTTACATAGTATTTATTAAGTACGAAATTTATTACACTATGGGTTATAATAAATATAGTATTGTATTTTAATAAATACTTCATATACATGACATTTGATTAGAACATTAATTTAAGGATAAACTGAAATATTCAATTGTTATATTAGACTTACGTGTAAAAATTAGTAGTAAATACATGTAATTTATTTCTAACCTGCAAACGAACAATACAAATATATTGACAAAATATATATGAAGTATGAATAAATTATATTATTGTGATATAAATATGATATATAAAAACAAAAATTAATAGGAAAATAACACTTATAGCAAGGAAGTCTAGCGGAGAACAAAAAATTTACGCAAAGCAAAGGAGGCATCATGTATAAATAGAGAAACTGAAAATTAGAAAAAACACCGTCTCCACGCGGCATTAAGGGAATGGTTGGTCAAATGCTGGTCATAAGTGATGTGATGCGGCATGTCACTGGTGACAAGTGAGACGGTGGTGAGTAGTCACCTCATGCAACAATAAAACAACACAACGCGCGAAGTACCACATGCTTTAACACAATCGTAGGCAACATGTGATACACAACACAAGTAAACTATAAAAAAGTAAGAGAATCCTAATGCACAACACCACAACTATATTAGTACGTCTTAAGTAAATTAAATTACTTTAATAAATATAAAATTTCATTTGTTGTACAACCGTTTACAGTATAAGAAATTTTTGTTTAATTTATTCATTAATAATTTCAATCGTATTTTTATTGTATATTTTTCAGTATTTAATACATATAATAAATAACATTATTTTTTATCTATACATATTATAAACGGGATATATTTTGGTAACTACCCATTTTGTGTCAATTTTTTAGTTGACGATTAAACTCCTTAAATATAATTAAAAATGTTATTTTATTTATTTTAATGTATACATATTGTATACATTCTATACATATTATAAAACAGATATATTTTCGTAGTATCTTTTTTGATGCCCACATTTTTTTTGATGAATTATAGCCGTTAAATAAAAAAAAGTTGTTGTAATTTTATATCATAATTTTTTCTTTGTACAAGAATTTGATAAGAAAATAGGCGACATTGTTTCAGACCTAAGTTGCAGCATTTTGGTTGTCAATATAATTAACTTAAGATGTATACAATAGATATATTTTTTGAACATGGACAACAACCCGAGGACATCAAATCATTTTTATTGTCATCATTATGTGCAAACTTCATCCGCAGAACCTACTGACCGCATACTCCTGGATTGGAAATCATTCATTTATTATTTTCAATTTCTGAGTGACAAAGTTGAATGATGGCAATGGTTTTCCAATAGTTTATTACTTTTAATTTCGTTGTCCAGTGTGTACACCTTTGTTTTGGTTTTTCATTGACCAAATAACATGCCAAAATAAAATATCAAATCATATGGGTTTATGTTTTTTTTATATACGTGTTGTACACTATTAATAAATTAAAAAATGTTTTCATTATTATTTATTAACGTCGTAATTTGATTATAAATGCTAATGTGTATTGTCAGGTTGAGTTCATCCCTACCTCCTCTTTCAACACAAAAAAAAATGAGTACAAACAGCTCTCAGCCAAAGGTTTATGTCGTCTTTGAGGGACGGAACCCAGGAATTTATTACTGTTGGGAAGAATGTGAAGCACATATTAGTGGCTACAGGGGTAACAAGCATAAATCATATGCCACGTATGAAGAAGCATGATCCGCTTGGATAATATACTGCAACAAACAAGGCACTCAACACAAAAAAAAATAAAAACAAAGGTCACAGAAAATCTCCAAAAGAATCAACGAGTGGCGGAGAAGGTTCATTTTTCCATTAATTTATGAATAATTTATTTATTATAAATATTTAATTACTTTTTGTTTTTATGTTGTTGTTATTAGGTAGTAAGCCACATGATATTGCAGAGGACACTAATAGTGAGGTGTTTCTTGTTCATCAAAGCATGGGAATATTGTTGTCTGACATATGTGCCGTTCGTGGTTATCCTGAGCCAATGTTCACTCTGGAGCGAAAACAAATTGTTGAAGGAGTTGAGTATCGTAGGTACTATGGAACATTGGTTACGGGTGATGTTGGGAACCTGGTTTCATTGGGAAAATTTGCAGCAAATGACTACGATGCTCAAGAGGATGTGTCGGCTTCATTGATTCGTCTACTACTAGCAGCAACGGGTAAATGAACAACTTGAAAAAACAATGAATCAAAATTTGGAGCTGGAGATGGAGGTTTGTATGTTAAATGAACAGATGGCAAATTTGAGAGGTGCGAAGGAAAAACAAGAACAATGATTGTTTGAAACATGTATCCTACTCCGCCGTAGTCACTGCATATTTTGTTTGTATGTTAAGGACATGATAAATGTTTTTGTTTGTTTTTTGATGTTGTTGGAAAGGGTGGTTATTTCCTTTTATGACAATGTTTTATGATATTCTGTATGTATTTAACTTGTTCCTTTTTTTAAAATGACGAATGTGTTATATTCATCATAATTGTTCAACTTCCACTCAACTCACCGAACCTTGTCTTTATTTATTTATGCAGTGAACACTGAGTGTTTTAGTTATGCGCTGCAAATATTTGTCATTAATAGACATGTTACATATAATTGCATTTACTTTTGTTTTAACATCCACATATTCATTCATATTTGATCTGAGTCTGCCTGTTAAAATTCAGTCGTTAAATATAAACATATTGTGTTATAATTTGTGTTAATTTAATGTAGTCAACTTCATTATAAACTAACAATATAATTGTAGCGTCAATGATTACAAATTATAAGTCATAAGGAAAGTCATGTAATACAGTATCTCTTGAAATAAAGACAAACACCATTACCCTTTTTGTACATATAGTATCTTCGGATCATGAGTAAAATAAAATTGAAGGACATCGTCCACCAAAAAGTTGTTTGAGCAGACGAACTCATACCATCCTGCAGCCATGTACCTTTTATGACAACTTCCCTTAAGTTGACATAAATATTGATTATCTTCCTCATCTTGTATGACTATTTTTTGTTGTTCATCTGGGATAAAATCTCTAACAACATGACATGGAATAGTCTACAACAACAACATTTTATAATTAGTGATCAATAAATTTATTATTTAAACTAATTATGAGTACTTGCATATTTTCATTGAATCCTGTATATTCAAATATAAACAGTTGCATTACAAAGAAAAACACTTTATAAACAGTACTACTTAACATAATAAATAATATTAAATTACCATTCCTGGAGTTATTTTTGAACCGGAAGTTTGAAACCAGTATTTGAAGTTGCCCTTGTTTACCGATGTCGATGAAGATGCCATTTTTAAAATCTGAACAAATAAATTTCTTTACTAACAATTATTTATGTTCTTGGATTCTGTAGTTTAAATAAATTTGCAAATGAAACTGAAAACCGACATACCTGAATGAGACAACGATGAAGTCAACCCTGAACAAAACCCAAACCAAACCTAGGCTTTTATAAAATATTAGTTTCAAACTGGAAATATATGGTGTTCGGTTGTGGAAGACGGAATGTGAAAAGCGTGTGTTTGTTGAACAAAAATAGCAGTCATGTTTTTAAGTTGAAAGGGTTTACATATAACACCAAATATGAAGGGTTGCTAATTTACACTAAAACCCTTTACCGAAATGGGTATTAATTAGTTATAAAATAATTAATCATAATAACCCCAAAAGACACAAAAGCGGTTTTTACATTTACGAAGCACACACGCATGATATCAAATTTATGTTTCTATCACTGCAATGAATCATTCCATAAGCAATGATGATTTCAGAAGTAAAAAGTAATAATCACATCATAAAGTCATACACGTATACAATTGTACGTGTTCGGACACAAATCTCCGTAACATTTTCCGAAATTAGTTTAAAACACAAAATAATAAACATCTTTTTAAATAACATTATTATAATTTTTATTTAATGTTAAGTATTACTTAAAATTTTCTGTATATTTTGTCTTAAAAGTCTGAATTTTATGTGATTCTCATTTAGTACTTCACTATATAATTAATTAAAAAAATTTAATTCAGCCGTTCTATACATGTTGTTTATACTATATTAATATGTATTTATTGGAATAGACAATTCTATATTTATTAGTTATATATTTATTAAATTCTGAAAACCCTGCAACCTCATCCACTTAAATCCACTTAAAATATAAAACAAAAAATAAATGTATATAAACGGGTGCATAGATTAAATAAACAGTTGTACTCCACCGAACGTCGAATGCAGGGAGTGCAGTTTTTGGAAACAGAAGGGATGCAACTTCTAGTATTCATATCACTCTTCGTAAAACTGCTTTTTCGTATAAATATGACCATCGTCATTTGTTACTCATCATTGTCTCACTTGTCCACCAATACACTCCTCTGATTCTGTACACTTAACATCACACTTACAAATATATGGCACTTCCATTCGAGATAATAACCGAGATATTTTTGCGAGCACCCGTGAAATCATTTTACAGAGCCAAAACGGTGTGTAAGCTTTGGTTTGGTTTGTTTGCTCAATCTGTCCTCGCGAAAATGCACTATGACCTAGCAGTAGACCAAAATAGAATCGCGAAAAAAATTATGTTCTTTTCATGTTTCGTAAATGAAATACTATCAGTAGACGTAACAAAGCCTCTTGTTGCTCTAGACGCCACTTGCATTCTTCGGTCCCCATTGGGCAACTCCATTCGGTACAGTAAAATCGTTGGTACATGTAGGGGAATGGTACTAATTTCGGTGCCTACTTTGATGTTGATATGGAATCCCTCTACTGGATTTACTCGTTCATTTTGTCCATGGTCAGCTACTACAATATCTATATGTGGGGATGTATTTGATATGAACTTGTATGGATTTGGTTATGACCGATCTGAAGACAATTATGTTGTCCTTCAAATTTATCTTAGTAAACGTGATACATCCCATCACACTTTGCTGTATTCTGTCAATGATGATTCATGGAGGGATTTCGAACATGACTCCCTTTCCACCATTACACACCCTTCTGTTTCTGTTCATCAGGGATCTATGGGACTGTATTTTGCAGATTCTCTTCACTGGATTACTTTCAACTATGAAACAAATGCTGATTTTATTTTGGCTTATAATTTATTTGAGTCAAAATTTTATCAACTAAGTATTCCGGATGATTGGGACTACACGGTGGACATATGGGAAATGAAGGAATATGGTGTCACAACTTCTTGGTCTAAGTTAACATGTATGCAGGTCAGTAATCACATTTCAGAATATATGTTACCCGCCTGTTCTTCAGAGAATTCCCTTGTATTTGTCAACAATGAAAGCGGACTTTTGGCCACATGAAATGCATTAGACGAGACATTAGAATATACGACTTTTGACCATGTACTCCCATTTGAACACCAAATGATAGTCTGTGAAGAGACACTTCTTTCAACCTAAACTTAATGTAATTTTTTGCTTTACTTAGTGTAGGCTTTCTATTTTAATGTTTACCATTAGGTATTAAACATGTAATGAATTGGAATTTGTATTGTATACTTAATATTATATAATATATATATTATAATTTTATTTATTGTTAATATATATATATATATTATTATTTCATTTGTATATGCAATTTGAAGAAAACATTTATTAAATAAATTATATAATCAAATTTATTAATTAATAGTTTATGAAGAATTTGGTTTTTAAAAAAACCGTTAACCAACAATAACACACATGGGAACGTTAAACCAAACAATGAGTATTAAAAACTTAAAAACAAAATTTATAATAAATTTATAAAATTATTAAATTAATAAACAATTTAATAAATAATAAAAAGGAAATTAATAAATAATGTAATTGAAAAAGTAATTAATATTATAAATTCAATAATTAAGACTGAAAAAAAAACTTTAAAAATATTAACAAAATATTAATATTAAAATATGTAATTATAATACATGGTACATTAAGATGAAATTTTAAAAATATAAAAAAAATTTAAACACATAACAAATTTGATAAACATAAATTATTAAAAACAATCAATTAAAATATAAATAAAACAACTAATTACAATAAAATAAAATATATACATATATATGCGACGGTTCCGGTAACCTATGGGAAAATTAAATATAAACCCATGTGACCTTTCATTTGCTTTCCATAGATACACGTAAGCATTTAAAATTCCAACTGCCAAACGCACGATCGAAACTTAATAATTACACGTTTCAGAAAATCATATTTTCTTTTCAGAAGTGGGATAAAGACCATTCCTAAAACCAAGTATTTCATCTTCTTCCTCTTCTGTCTGCCAAAGTCGTAATATCCATTGAAGGGATTCACCGAAATTCACCCCCTTTCCATTTTGCAACGCTAAACAACATCTACTGGTATGATTGTATTTGATTCGAAAATTTTATATTTTTAGTTTATTTTATTGACATTTGTTTCTTAACACATAAATATTCTTAACACATAAATATTCAGGACACTTAAATGTATGTTATTTTACCTTTCACTAACTTTCGGTTTTAGTATAACAAATTTCATGAAAAAATTAACAAACCTTTAGTTTTTTATGATTATTATTACTGTTATAATAAACAAAATCATTGATTCTAAAACTCTTTTCTTCGTCCCATGTATTGTCTTTGTTGCATGTTCTTGTATATTAAATAAAAACCTTAAAATCCAGAAAATGGACCCTCTTATGAATTCTCAAATGGACAACATAGTCAAACAGTTCAGATCTGAGTTATCACCAAATAAAGTTAAGTTATTTTATATTTTCTTTCAAATTCCATATAAATGGTTTAATACTATTATAAAGTATTAATATTCATACTGATCGTTCGTTGAATTCTTTTGTTATTGTTAGGATCGGATATTTTTAAATGCTCAGCTTTACAGACACTGGAATGGTAAGATAGAACTTGGCGAGTGCATCATAACAGACCCAAATGGGAACACCTTTAAACTTAATTTGAAAAATTTAGGACAAACTGTTGGCATGTTTTATGGGGTAAAACAAATTGTAAATTTCTATGGTCTTACATCCAAACACATAGTTGACTTCTACTACAATGACACTAACAATTTTCATATGCGTATTTATAATTTTGCTGAGGAGGAAATATGCTATCCTTAATTGAAAAAACAAACCAACAACACTTCAACAAATATCGGGTAAAGTTTACATACACATAAACCCCAATGTATTATTATTTTATTAATATTTGTAGTACTAAATTACAGTTTTAATTTTGTCAACATTGATACTGTGCAAATTATGCAACCTGAAATTGAAAATCAACATTTAGTTGACAATGATGAAACGATTCCACCAACCCAACTTCAAACACATCCTGCAACCCAACTTGAAAAACATCCAATAACTTGGTTTCCAACGCTCACAAAGGCCGCTTCAACCGGAGACAACCATTGGTGAGCAATAAAATGAATTCTATTTTTTGTTTTTATATTTATAAATGAATATTAAAATTTATCACCAACAACTTTTACTCATTGCAATATTTTCCAGTCAAATATGTTGATGTCTGGAACGTTAACAAGTACAAAATTTGTGTGTTGATTGCAAGGAAATATGGTCAAGTCTGACATTATCAGAAAGTGTACAAAGCGCAACATAAACGAGTTTTACGTGGGCAAAGAATGGGGTCACCTAATTAAGCGACAAGGATACAACCAACAGCAAATGTTGAAAATTGAAAAACTTAATGACCCCAATTATTTAGTTTTGAATGTTGACAAAGCTTCATTCTGAACAGGCGAGTTTATAGTTGCTGCTGCCTGCTGCTCGCCTTCGTTGTCTTATTTTGCTACTGCTACTTCAAATTTTGAACAGAACATTTTATATTTTCTAATTAATTTTTTTGATACTGCTACTTTAATATTCTCATCAATTTATATATTTTGATGTGTTTAATTAATACTTGCATGAAAATATTTACTTTGGTTGTTTGCTGCCGAAATATATATTTGGTTGTCTTTGCAGGTCACAGCAAACAAGAATACACCTGCACAATAACAAAGGTTTGTTTATTATTATATTTAATTTATTTTATTTACATTTGATAAATTTCAAGAATTTTGTTATATCGTTTTTTGTATTATTAGTCCCATGCATCGTTTTATTTTTGACTTCAATTTTCACCATATAATTTTAGCAATAAACCCCAATTTTGGGATTATACTTTCCACGTGCCAACAACATACGACAACACCAACCTCAATCCAATTTTTTAAAAATTTAAAATATTTTGGTTTCATATTAAAAAAATTATATTTTTAAATTACAGTAATATACATTTATTTTCCACAAATAAACATTCCACAAATCATTTTCGACTATTGCTGCCTAAGTCCATCAATGAACCACGAAAAATTTATACTAATCACTCCATTTTATTGCTATCAACATTGAAATTTAAAATAATTAAATAAATTTCGTAACAGATACTATCGAAAACTACTTTAAAACGAAATCCATTTCATAAATAAAACAACAAATTCAAAACATTACTTTTTTATTAAAGAATCGTAAATTTTTAATAATTTTTAAAATTCTCAACTTCCGGATTAGACGGCCACAAATTAATACGTCCTTCAAAAGTTGCTACAATTAATGTTCAATTTAATGTATAATAATAATAATAATATAATTAAAAAAATTAAACCACCCCATATGGTTTTTCGATTACCAAAAATACTTATAACTCATACCGGAAGGTACAGTGGGGTCGTTTTCATAATCAAAAACCACGGTCTTTATTTTGCGACAGCTGTTGATGTTTCAAACCAAAATGACTGCGGAAACGGGGCAACAATGACTGACTTTTTATTTATCAGTTTATCACGCAATCCAACGGTTCAAAGGGGCCTCCTAAACAGAGATAAAGTGACATCCTTTCACCATTCTGTGTCGCCAAACCCTAAACACAAAAAACAACTTTCATCTTCTTCTGAAAGTAGTCTCCTTCGCACACTCATCTTCTTCGCACACTCATCTGAACAACTTCATTGTCCTTCTTTCGGTAACTTCTTCCTATTCATTGTCGTTGTTGTAAAAAATGGACTTTTTTTACCGATTAACATTTTTCAAACTTCAATAATGTTAATATAATGATTAAAATTCCTCCTTTACACTGCTCTTCATCTGTATCATCATATAAATAAAATGAATGTTTTTCATTGCATGTATAACCCACATTGATTTATGATGATCTGGATGCATTCCATACATTATTTTGTCATTATCTATTTTTAGCTTTACACTTTACGGTTTATATATGAAAAAACAGAACAACATGAACCGTAAACCCTAAACCCGTCATTTTACTTGTATTTCTTCCTCCTTCAATGTAGAAAAATGGACTTCTTAAACGACCTAGATCTGGAAAACCCACCAACACACTTCCGATGCGACGTCACCCCAAATAAGGTGAAGTTTTTGCTCATGTCTCTCATAGACAACTTTGACAAGTCCTGCATACGTGTTGCATCAATAATCACCCTACATTTAATATTAAAATAATTAACTCCTGACATTATCATTCATTCAGCATTAGATGCATCTAATCGTATTACCTATCATACACCATATCACACACGATAAAAGTTTCTGAATTTTCTATTAAAGTAATTAATTTTAAGCAAATAAATGAACCAAAAAACACATCTTCGAATGTAACCACGCAACTGCTATTGACATTCACAACGGCCCATTTCAGATGAAAAAAACACATCACCAACGGTCATTTACTTTTTTCGTTCAATTTTTTATTAAAATTTTAAAACTTCAATACAAAATTATGAAAGTTTCATCTTCTGTCATAGGGTGTATTAATACGTTTACATACATGTAATGCTCAATAAAAGTCATGCATCCATACACCACTTGTATAAGTCGTCCTTCAGAGAATTTACCTAAGTTGGTTATATTGTATGTTAATTAAATTTAATTAACATAATTCCATGGTATTCATAATATATATATATATCCTTTTTTCATTTTCTGTAGGGTCGGATTTATATTAATGCACACTTTTACAAGTACTGGATTTGTAAAATAGAACCAGACGACTGTATCATTACTGACCCAAAAGGGAATACGTTCAAGGTTTATCTCAAAAATTTATGTAAAACAGTAGGTATGTTTAATAAAGGGGTCAAAGAAATGATACATTTTTATGGTATCAAAACTAAACATATTGCTGAGTTCTGGTACAAGGGGTCAAACAACTTTAACTTGCATATCTTTACTTTTGCTGAAGAGGAAATATTATATCCTCAAATTAAAAACGAAAATGCGCACACTTCAA